CCAGACACTTCCACAGCATGGATGAGTTCTGCCACTATGATCTGCTGGATGCAACCACCCAGCAAAGGGTGGCAGAAGGCCACAAAGCTAGCTTCTGCCTGGAGGACACGTCCTGTGACCCAGGATACTATAGGCGCTACGCCTGCACTTCTCACACTCAGGTATGCCATTTTCCCTTCCCTATATTCCCTTTGATCTTTCAATACACTGGAATAGCAGCTCTTATGGATGCCTCAACTTGCCAAGTTTCTACATAAACACGTATTTAAGATGAAGAACCTCCTTCAACACAAAAAAGAAGAAAGTCCCATCTCAAATGCTGCCTTGTTATGCATGTGGCCATCAGTGCCTTTTGGTTTCCAAACACCAGTTTGAGTGCTGTTGCTAGTCTTTCAGACTGTCTGATTTTCTAAACTTAATAGGGACTGAGCCCAGGATGTTACGACACCTACAATGCAGACATTGACTGCCAGTGGATTGACATTACTGACGTCAGACCTGGAAAGTACATTCTCAAGGTTAGATTTTACACATTTAAATACAGAGTAATGTGTGCAGCCGTGTTTGTTCAAGTCTGATGTATTCTTTTATGTCACTGCATTCCAGATAACGGTGAATCCAGGCTTCCAGGTCCCAGAGTCAGACTTCAACAATAACATTGTTCGCTGTGACATTGACTATACGGGCAATTACGCCCAAGCATCAGGGTGCACTATGTCTTCGTAAGTGAATATTGGACGACAACACACGTTTTGCATTTCAAAAAATTAAACTGAAGGAGTACTACTTTTTTCAAGTAATCTTTATCTGCCATATCTGTATCACATGGTCAGTTACTACAGCAATACTTTTGACAAGTTTCCCTATACTCCGAAAATATCAGAAAACAAGTTTTCTCAAAAATCACTTTTAATAAAAGCCACCAGGTCAGACGTCGGCAACATGTGGCTCTTTTACTGACCTGTTGTGGCTCCACAGCAAAATTAGATGTTTAGATAAAAATAACATAATCCTCCTTTTCAGTTAAATAGAGCTCTGCTGATCATTCTAACATAGTTTTAACAATAAATCATCTTAAACGTTGGAGTTAATGCGTAACTGCTAATTCACCCCTTAAACCTGACAGTTGGTGCGCAGAGTGCTACACAGACAACAATCCCGCCTAGCTAGTAGCTAACTAAACGGCATAGAGAAAGATTTCAGATGAACATCAATAATTTTGAAACGATATGACTTATTTGCATTTCTAAGCACTTAGCTGGTTTCCCGATACATTTAATCTGCAACGAGAAACTGAAACACTAAAAAGTCACAAAGCTGAAGTCAGCTTCTCATTCAAATTTTCCTGTTCCACCTTAAATAGTGCAGCAGTTGCATTCTGGTGCCTCAGGCACCATTTAGGGTGAAATGGGAAAATTCAAGCAAGAAGCTGGTGAATGAAAAGCTGACTTCAGCCTCATAAAAAGTCAAATGTTGAGAGACATTTTACAAGAAGCTATTCTACTTTGTCTGAAAAGTTTCCTGCCAGAGATGCGAGAAAAGCAGCTGTATCTGAGCAAAAGCGTAAAGCAGAGCAAAGTGAGTCTGTGTTTTCGTTTATAGGCTAATATATTTTTTAGCATAAACCAGGACATTAGCATGTACTGAGACATATTTACAGCCAAGATGGTAAAATGGACATAAAATGTTGTGGCCCCCACGGTGGTTTGATTTTTGTTGAAAGGACAAAATGGCTTTTCTTATACATGAATTTTAATCTACAACTGCTACAGTTGGGTCTCTTATGAAGCTGTATTCAACTTTCAAACACTGGAGCCACACAAATTACTATAGTTTTTACCTTCTGGAAGACTAGTCTCATCTTTGAAAGAAAGGATTGAGCAGATTTACAGCTTCATTTATAAATACCTTTGACAAAATAACTGAGTGTTCTACAAAGGTATGTATTTCGAACAAACGTTTACTGATGGAAATGCCTAGTGGCTTCTGTTTCTTGTCAACAGGTTTTTGTTCTATTCTAAGTGCAGGGAAACACCCCAAATTATAGTACACTGTGGTAACCAACCTTACTTTTATATATGATTACATGGAAAAATGCTGGAATATTCCTTTAAAGCTCTAAATCAGTGGTCACCAACCCTGGTCCTGAACATCGACCTTCCTCTGAAGCGTAGTTCGAACCACAGTCTGCCACACCTGCTCCATATAATATAGATGATGGATGCATGTTAGATGAAGGTTGGAACTAAACTCTACAGGAAAGTGGATCTCCAGGACGTCTAAATGGAATACCACAAATTTCCTGTGGAAAAACAGGAAGGGAAAATTATTTTAAATAAACAAGGCACTGTAGTGCCCTCTAGTGCATTCTATTGGACATGCATGGCACTTAGCAGATTCTTAAATTGTGCTTTGAACTGAGCAGACTGTGTTCAGTATTTATTCTAGGGGTGGACAATATGATGATATTTCATTGTTATTATGGTAATTTACATTAAAGCATGCCTTTCTATGCATATGTTCCACTACAAAGAGTGCATAATGAGTTTAATTAATTTCATGTTAAACTGGATCATTGCATAGTTGTGGTTTTTGATAATATTCTTAAAGGTGACACTACTGGGGCTTTTCTAACATAGGAAACCTCAGAAAAACTGAACATTGTGATGCATGTTGTGTATCATGAAAATGTCTTTAAGCATTGTGATATAATATTTTTGCCATATTACCCACCCCTAATTTATCCTGTTACAGACTTTTTAACAACAATTTCTATTACCTATTTTTTCTTCAGATACTGATGGCAGAGTTTTGTCACCACATACAAAACATTCAACTCTTTGATTTGACCATCGTTGGTACAGGAAAGGACCCCTTAAGGGACAGCCAGTGGGTGAAATGGTGCCTACCAGTGATGACCACATCAGCCATTTTTAGCCTATCCAAACCTATCAGCATTATTATGTCCAAAATGTGCTTAAAAGCAATGAAACATGTTAATTTAAAGTAGTAGCAGAACGTAAACAAAGCTAACAAGAGAATACAATGATTACAACAGTTCTGATAGCACTTTCATTGCTTTTGCTGCATGAAAATAGCTGAGAAACTAATATTCAGTTTTCATAGATGTTATTTAATACCCTACTTGTTGTAGATTACATGAAAAAAGATTTAAAAACTTAAGCTTATTAGTATTAGTGTGCTTTTTGTCGCCATAAATTGCTTCTCCACTCAGAATTATATCCTGGAGAGCATTTTCTGTTTAATAAGATAATATTTGAAAACTCAAGAGTAATTCTAGCTGTATGTTATCCATAGACAGTATAAGTAAGTGCCACATTGAAACAGTGAAAGTACATTCAGATGTTTTAAATCAGTGTTGTTTTCTTCTTTTATAATGTACATTAACTGTCATATATGCTAAGATTTTGTATTTCTAACATTAAATGGTGCTATTCACGTTATGACTCACTGGCATATTTGGGAGCCAAATATTACTTGAATAAAGGCTATCAGATGAGATCTCCCTGTTTCCTCCCTTCAAATCCTTCACAGCTGCAATATTTAACAGCTTGTCGGTGCTCAACTGATCATGACTGAGCAGCCAACTGTCCAGTTACTTTTGGTCAACTAAAATGGAAGGATGGTGTACATGGCCTTTAATTTCTATGTGGTTCACCCAATATGTGCACATATATTCTGAAATTTAATCTCATAGTTATTGTTTCAGATCCGGTGTGCTGGAGTTTGTAGTAAGACCTACAAAAACACCGTCCAAATATTTACAGATTGCTCTGAATGTCAGTATGAATGGGAACACTGCAAAGATTCAACTACAGAACAGTTTGCAGAAAATCCACTAGAGTGCAGCAGCATAAAACCACGACCCAAACAGCTTTTACCCAACCAAGGAGTTGTTTAAACTCCAGAAATAGAGAAAAATGTCCAAAAACAAATCCTAAAGTTGATTAGAATTTTATGTTGCTGGATATTTTTAACCTATGGCAATATGAAACATCCAAATGGGTCTATGTGTTCTTTTAATTTCATCAAAATAATTTCATCTTAAAGCGATTTTAAAGGAAGAATTTTTAAGCCACATAATCGGTCAGTGACCAGAAGGTGTGCATCTGTTACTCTGACACTTTTTAACTACAATAATACTAATAATCTAGTAATACAATAATTTAGGAATAATACCATTTAGCATTAATAAGTTACAAACCCATACTTCCTGCACAGTATTATGAGCATAAGCAGACAGAAACAGTTCCAGAAAGGAAACTTAATTTTAATATATGTAGGTGTTCTTTCAAAACAATCTGAAAGCACCCAGCAAAGGATCTACATCACATTTAAGGTTAGGAAAGGTTAGGAAAAGCTCCCTTCTAATGATGCATCTCGAAGACGGCAGTAGATTTTAAAAGACTACAAGTGCTCTTTTTTGTCTTTGTTTTTTGCTATCTGACTAATTTAAACTCCTTAACAAAGAAAACAATTTGATGACCAAGTGCTAAGTAACTAATGCTGCTAGCACCGTTTATTAGCTTCTACATTAACGGCTAATTGAATTTGTGACGTATTTGTGTAATGCACGCTGGGTATTGTAGTCATACAACGTTGATGGATGTAATCACGAAAACAAAACATCTTAAATTTCGTCAATCTGATTATGCTGCACTACGGAAAACTACAGAACACAACAAATAACATATTAAATGCTAGTTTAGGTCAGAATGCCCCTTTAAGTATTTGGTCCTGGAGGCGTTCAATAAAATGCACAAAACAGAATTAAAAACTAAAAACTCCCTGTCAACAGGGACGTCTATTTTGTGGGCATATCTAGCAATATCACCAAAACTGAAAGCCAGTAATTCAGAGTTCACAATACACTGCACAGTTTTATATTATATAACGCTGGAATATTTACCCTGAAGCTCATTAACTTTTATTACTTCCACTAACAGGCCTTACTGTACAGTGACACAGGCAGTCTTGGTAACACTTCAGGCTGCTCGCTAATTCTGGACATGTTTTTCTAATTATCCGCACAATAGACGATTTAAAACGATCAAAACATACAGACATGACTTTGTTCTTTGACGGCTGAAGGTTTGGGAAGAAGAGGGGAGGCTGAAGAGGACCGTGTGGACGGATGAGTGCGGTGATGCCCGCCTGTACAGTAACTGTGAGACTGTAACGGCGCCTGTAATGTATATCCGGTTTGGTAGGAATAAGCAGGAATAGCGGTGCGCCTCCTGCTCTCCATGTCACATTCCTGCGAAGTGTTTCCAAAAAGGAACAGCTGGAGGACCGCGAGAGGGAAACACAGCTCTAGGCCACAAGGTATTGTCGGCTGATGTGTTATTATTATTATTTATGAAAACGAAGGTTTATCAGTGAAGGACTAATGCGATGTTTGAACAGCTTGTGCTCGTTAACAGTCGGCTCAGCTGGACCAGCCCTCCGCTAAGCTAACCAGCCTCACCACAAACAATAGGGAAAGCTTCGCACGACACGAACAGATGTTTTCTTCGCTATTTTCTTCTCAATATATCTTACAAAACGTCCACCAGACAAGCAAGAAATTAGTCTTTTACTCGGTTCTTTTTCATAACCCTGCTCACGGTGTGAAAGCGGTTGCGCTTATCAACTTTGTCGGCGTTTTGTTCTTTAAATAAATTAGCTAGTTAGCTAGCTGCGTTAGGTGGCTACGTTGCTGGTGATACCAGGTCGCAGACGAAGGCACCTAGCTGGCCTAGCCACGTTTAGGAACCGGGAACATTAGCTACACCACTCACTGTCACAGTTTACTCTTCTGTTAGCGCATCTGTGTCACTCTAATATGCGCTTGTCTACTGTTAATAAGGCATAAAAAGACGTTTCCAGTTTCACGGCAATGACCTGGAGATGGAGAACCACTTTTTAAAAGAAGGGTTTTCAAGGGTTCTTTAGTAAAGGGGAATGGTTCCATTTAGAACCACGAGTTCTACATAGAACAATTTCCGTGGTGAAATGTTTTTGTAGATCGATGGAGAATGTGTTGTATATGGTTTTGTATTTGAAAATGGTTCTATATAGCACCAAAAAAGAGCTCTGCTATTGTTAACGTCAAGCTTGCAGAACAACAGAAGAACCCTCTTTGGTGCTATGTAGATCATTTTCAAAACGGTTCTATATAGAACCATACTCAACACATTCTCCACCAATCTGAAGCCATTTCAACATTCAAAGAACCATTTAAGAATGAAATGGTTCTAAATAGAATCGTTCTCTTTACTAAAGAACCATCTTTTTAAAGAGTGTGCGAGGATGTGAGGTTGGCTAATAAACTGACCCCCTCTCGCTGAGGGAAATTCTACAAAATGACACAAAATATAATTATGTAGACCCAGGAGTTATTAAGATTCTTGTCTGGCCTGTAACCCAAATAGCTCTGTAACCCAAATTGATCTCTAATCTACTTCAGCAAGGTGTTCATGACAGTTCTTGGAATAAGTCCGCCTGTGCCAGTGTTCTTCAAGTAAGCCGCTGGCAGGCTGTGCTTTCCTGATCCCTGCTTGGATTTAGTTCAGTGCTGCTCTGTATTCTGGAATTGTAGGCCTTATTTTGTAAATGCCCTTTTAGGCTAAATCTGGACAATGCACTTGGAGGTTTTAAGGGGGTATTTCTGTACGTAACACATTTTGATGCAGCCAGGTGCATCAGATGTTGCTAGGTTTGTAGGCCAGTTTTTCCAGTCACCAGATGCTTTGAACCAAAATCCTCATACAAGATTATCACCCTCCTGCCAGATTAGTCAGTATTCATACATACATAAATACATATATATAAATATATATGCTCTCTTATATCATGCTTTTGGAGCATAAATAATAAAAACTGGAGTACTTCTGATTCTAAATTAGCCTTCCACATCTGAAACAAGAACAAACATTTATTGTGAAGTTTCATTGTGTTTCATTTACAAATATCTCCCCCCATCAGGTTACACTATTGTTGTGCTATATTAGGCACATTGTGGTGCACAATGGACCTCAGTGAACCTCAGTGATGTCAGCAACTTTTGACAAACCGTAGACTGACTGTTTTCTTCAGGGAAAAGAAAACCTTGTTAAACTTTGTTAATATTTTTTAAGATGTCACTGTGTTGTGATAATGTTGTCTTTCACACATTTTCAACAGGGTTACCTTGGACATAATGCTCACAGAAGATGGATGCTCCTGAGTATTTGGACCTAGATGAGATTGATTTCAGTGATGATTTAGCTGTGAGTAAATGAGTAATACTTTTATGGGACTTGGCAAACTGGAGATGTAGCTGCTTTGTAACAGCAAATCAAGACGAATGGGCGTAATAACCAGATGTGAGGGCGTATATAAGTGTGAAAACATTTTATGTAAAAGTCGCAAGTAGAATTAAAACATAATAAAAATGAATGTAAGTTTCTTGCTGTTGAAAGCCGCTAAAGTAAACATGCAGTGATGATCTGCCATTTTTACAAATACTTTGACTACCAGTTTTAAAGTGTAAGGATAGTCCTGTAATATGGACTATAATTGCAAGGAAACTAACAAAGGAGAAAATAGTGCCATAAAAAAACGATAGTAGCATAATCTAGGTATTTGGTCACAACAGCTGCTTTCTTACACAGATGATACAGATGTGCCGTTGAGTATAGATCTGTTTGTTGACTTAGCTGATTACTTAGGCAATTAACTGAGGTATTTATTTGCATTGTAAAGAGGCCAATGTAGAATTTGGCTTGATTAAAACTGCGTCGTGAAAACAACACATCAGCACACTCCCTTGGCTCTGTTTCATCACCACATACCATTGTGATGTTTTGCTTTCAGGAAAGGAACATGAAATTTGATAGTGGCATAAGCTAGTGTTCATAGTGTTACATTTTTAAGATCTGTGTAAAGATTGCTATGAGGTCCTCTTTGTAAGGAAATTTGATCATACACAAAAAATAAGATCCAGTATGACATTTGATATGAAAACGACAGAGGGTATATGCATCGTTGTGTGCTGTATGTTAGAGGATGGTCTTGTTTGTGCACAAGTGGGTACCATAAAAGTGATCTGAAATGATCTTTCTCTATTATAGTACTCATCAAAAAGCATTCCAGAACTCTGTCGGAGAAATGATGCACAAGCTGAGGAGAGACAAGGTATGTGTGCTTTTGGAATCTGAATGTGTTATAAATGTAATATAATGCATGAAATCCAGGTAAGTGACTAAAAAACTTGGTCTTACTCCCTTGCAGTAATGGATGACAAAGATGTATGTTGTTAAAGGGGCTGTCAACTTTTGTTCATCTGTTTATGGTTTTAGCTAGTCTTAAAAAACAATGTTGGTTGTTTCAAGTACGCTATACATCAAGTCCAATTCCTCAAAGCAATCAGTATTAGGGCAGATTTTTTTGTCAGTGGCTTCTTTCCACTGCCCCCCCTATTCAAAACAAAGTCTCTTTAGTTGTGCCTGACTCCACTGAGCAATCTAGCTAGCTAGCATTTTAAAAACAAACCCTCAACTCTGGTAACATTGCTGTAACTGACAGCTTTAATTTAAAAAAAAATATCAGTTTCACAATTTCTGCCAGGCAGAATGTCCAAGTAAATGAACACGATTCTTTGTTCATACACAAACTCTTATGCATACAGAAAGAGTCGCTTTGAATTTACTTGATTCAGATGTGTACATCGATTCCACATGAATACAATAGATTACATCAACACAATTCTTGCCAAAAGTAAAATAAACAACAGAGTCCAACTGCTGACAGAAAATAAAAGCTTAAAAATGAGAAAAGCCTGCTGCCACAAAGTTGTTTATATTGTCATGGCTACATCTCTGCCAATCACCGTGGTCTGAAATGCCCACCCAGTCCTGTTCAGTCAGAAAAGCTGAGTTTATCTCGCTCTTACTCCATTTGAAATACTGTTTAGTGTTTATTCTTTCTGTGGTTAACAATCATCAAACTCACTAATCTTTAGGCTCATTTAGGTTTAATAATTGCAATCAAGTTGCCAGCCCCTTTAAACCTACAAGCTAATAACGAGCTATAGCTTAGTAAACCCACACCTGGAGAATGATTTAATTCAGAGTGACTGTGATTTCACTGTACTGTTTCAGCTCCAGGCATCAACTGGGGACGAAGTGCCTCATTACACAGTGGAAGTGGAATCAAACCCACTGGAATTGCTGATGTGTACAGCAAATTCAGGCCTGTTAAAAGGGTTTCACCACTTAAACATCAACCAGAGGTTTTGGACACTGAGACCGACAGTAAGAGTCCAGGGCACAATGTAGAAGGAAACAAGGAAGAATCGTCCTCTAAAGGGCTCCAAACAAGTGTGATCCCATGTGATGTTCAGGGGCTCAAGTGTAAAGGTATTGGTAATGGAGCACTGTTTGGGGAGCTGGAGCACTATGACTTGGACATGGATGAGATACTGGATGTGCCTTATATTAAATCCAACCAGCAAATGGCAACCCTCCCCAGAGTGGCCTCTGAGAAGCGGACCTCAGGGAGCAGCACCAGTGATAGGTGTCTCGGCCTCAAGGCATCATCTCTCACCCATACTGAAAGCCTGGGCGGAGGGACGCAGTACTGCGTACTCTCACCTGTTAACTGGCCGGACATGAGAAAGTCGAAGTCCATGGATCCAGACTATCTCAGGGCGCAAACAGCTGGATACGACCACTCCCCAAGCTCACTGCACTGCTCGATATCTGAAGCAGACAAACTCTTATCAGGAAGACCTTTTCCAGACACACCAACCCATAAAGCTGGGACTGACACCCCTGGCAGCCAGCCTTTGTTCCCTATTCAGGGAAGCACACCGGGAAGACTAGATAGTAGCAAGTCTTGGAGCGGTCCAAGAGCATTTGGAGAATGTGATGAAGAAACCAAGAAGTCTCAGAATATAATCAACATCGTCCGGGAAGGACAGATCTCGCTGTTGGTAAGGAGTGCTGTAAAACGATTGAATCGACTGAATGATTTGTTTGTTGTAAGAAAACCATATATCAAATGTAATCTTCATCCTTTCTCAGCCTCATTTTGCGACCGAGAATCTGGAGCTGATTCGAGATGAGGATGGGAACAATCTCCTTCATGTCTCTGCTGCACAAGGCCATGCAGACTGCCTGCAGCACCTCACCTCCCTTATGGGGGAGGACTGTCTCAATGAACGGAACAACCAGCAACTAACACCCGCTGGTCTAGGTGTCAGGGTGAGCTGAATGGTCACTTTTTGTAGCTACTTTTGTCTTTTTTGCGAATTCAGACTATGTTTGGTACACAAAAACTCCAGTTAATCCATTTGTAGGCTGAATCTAGTTAATTGACAATATTCTTCTGGCTGATCTGTTACTTGAGTTCTTTGAATCAGTTGTCTCACAAGTTATTTCAAGCTATCAGTATATCCAGTACTGTGCAAAAGTCTTAAATCATTAATCTTAGCAGCAAGTGTGTTTTGGGCAGCAAAAACAATATATAACTTTAGAATAAGGACGAATAAACATAAATAAACTTTTTTCAAAAAAGTGGTTGATGTCTTTTGAGCTGGTTTGGTTCTGGAATTCACCTCAACACCCTCAGCCGTTGTAAAGCTTTGTTCAAAGGTACCCGCACACCAAATTTAATTTATTGAAGTATTGATTAGCCAAACCAGCCACTGCACAGTAACTACAATTAGTACTAGGCTTTTTCAAGGAGTTTGGAAATAGTTGCAAGAACACGGTGACATACATAAAATCACTGCTTATTGTATTATATTATTGCTATTTATTCTAATAGCTATAGATATTTGAACAAATAAATGCTTATTGCTCAAATAAACAGGTTTTTTACAATGCAATTATCTGAGGTATCTATATTTTTTGCACAGTACTATATATTTACAATTTTTGTGTTCTCTGTAGAACGGACACCTAGAGTGTGTGCGCTGGATGGTGAGTGAGACGGAGGCCATTGCAGAGCTCAGTTGCACTCGAGATCACCCCAGTTTAATCCACTATGCAGCACGATATGGCCAAGTGAGGATCAAATCAAGAATAACAACATTAAAGTTGTTTTTTACACTGAACTTCTATGACTCTGTGGTGACTCTTCTCTTTAGGAAAAGATTTTGCTGTGGCTGCTTCAGTTTATGCAAGAACAAGCCATTTCTCTGGATGAAGTGGACCAAAATGGGAACAGTGCAGTGCATGTTGCTGCTCAATACGGTCATCTAGGCTGCCTTCAGGTAAAAGACAAGTTTATTTTTGTTTCTCTGTAGTCCAGTGATTTTTGACAAAGGCTTTAGAAAAAAAGAGTGTTTTGCAAAAGTAGATTTTTCTGCTGGACAATGGAAAAAAATCGGAAACAGGATACTGCTCTCCCTCCTGCTTCCTGTTTGTGCAGACTAACCAAGTCACTAATCAGCAACTAGGGGAAGTGTGTTGGCGTAAGGAATAATATTGTGTTGAGTAGTGAACTTTTAGAGTTTAGAAGTTCTTGGTCAGCCACTGGGCAGACAGCTTCACTAAAACAGCTTTCATTAGTGCACAGAAGTAAACGTTGAATGCCTTAATAATGTGTGGAAGTTTTCACAATGGACTGTCTGGCTTTAGCTACATTTTTATTTACAGAATCTGTTGTAATGCTATCTTTTGATTTTTTTGTTGTCTCTTTATTCAAGACACTGGTGGAGTATGGCTCGAATGTCACCATTCAGAACCAGCAGGGGGAGAGACCATCCCAGTGTGCCGAGCGACAAGGTCACACTACCTGCTCGCGTTACCTGGTGGTGGTGGAGACCTGCATGTCTCTAGCCTCACAGGTGGTCAAGCTCACCAAACAGCTCCATGAGTAAGAAGACCTAGAATACAATATGATGTTGTAGACTTACAGTTTTGCAAACTGTAAATTTGATATATATTTTTTGCTTTACCTCAAAGATGAATGTTTTCAACATTTTTTTTCCACAGACAAACTACAGCAAGAATAGCACTCCAAAATCAAGTCCAGCTGCTTTTCCAGTCCCAAGATCCTAATGGAAGACCAAGATCACCCAGGTCTGCTCTTCTCTCCTCACTATGTCTAATTACTTTTGTCTCATGCAATGTGCTGCCAGTGTACTGCTCTTGGATTAATATTGAAATTTCCTGAAATAAAACGGACCATAATTTCAGTCGATGTTGTTTTCGATTAGTTCACTTATTCCTCCGGCTGAGGCTTGGCCTGAAATGACCTTGACTGCGGAGGGTACGCCTGGCGATGGGCAGTGGGTGCTGAGGCAGAGGAATGTGGACTCGGACGCAGTCCTGCGCAAGCTCCTGGGAAAGGACATTGCTGAGAGGGTCGGCTCTAAAGAGAAGCTAAGTCTGGAGTTCCAGGAGGGGGCAGTAGATGGCGCCAGCGGCACAGCGGATGCAGGAACAGGGCCTGGCACAGGGCCGCTGAGAAGACTGGGTGTGGTGGAAAGGCGGGAGCTGAAACTGGCACGCCTAAAACAGATCATGCAGCGTTCCCTGAGCGAATCGGACACGGACTCCTACCCTCCGGACGAGTCCAAGCAGGCAACGGGCACCTCCAGGCCAGAGAGGCCCACCCAGCTTCCCATAGCTGAGAGCGAGGAACCTGTGTCTGGGCTGCACTTACTGATGAAGAAGCATACCTCAGCCTCTGAGCGTAAGTTCTCCTTTGCGCTCAGGACTTCCAAATCCATGGACGGATACAACCACTCTCCGACAGACAACAGCGACGTCGATCACGAAACAAAAAATGACCTGTCAGGGGACTTGGCCGAATTTAACAACGGGCAGAAAGTCACGACAAGTCCAAAGAGTGCTCTCAAATCCCCTTCCTCTCGCAGGAAAACCTCACAGAACCTTAAACTCAGGGTGACTTTTGATGAAGCGCCAGTCGTCCACAAGGACAGTCAAGCAGGAGAGGTGGTCAAAGGAGCATCTGGTAAAGAAAAGTCTTCAGAATCAGGGAAAAGACCCTTCGGAACATTCCGCTCCATCATGGAAACATTGAGTGGCAATCAGAACAGCAACAACAATAACACTCAAGCCACATCTGCTGGCAAGCACCCTGTTTGTAGTTCAGCACAAGGTCAATCTGGGAAAAAAACAGATGCTAAGGCCAGTCCGGGGGGTCTGTCCAAATGCAAAAACAAGACAAGCGCTGTTTAAGTGCCTTCCCTGAGAGAGCAGAGCAGGGCCCTATCGTCACTTTTTATTAAAGCATTTAGTATAAAATTCTTTGAGTATTTTCAAAGGATTATTGGTAACTGAGGTCCAAGCATTCACTTGTATGCGCTTGACATAAATGACTGACCAAAATACACTCCTAAGCATACATTTGGAAATCAGGCACTTGCTGAATTTCAACTTTGCAAGTAGCTCAAATCATTTTAGCATCCTGGTTTTCTTGGAACCGCTGTATATAAGAACAACATAACATTATTACAATCCCATTCTCAGTATTTCGTTGTGTAAGTGAAACTGTTACAGCACTCATTTACCAACACTGTGATTTTTATACAACCATGATCTCGTTTTACCGTTCTATGACTCATTGAAAAGCAAGATCGGTCTTACCTTTGCGCATAGTTCTGTTTTAGAAACCTGAATGCAATACGAACCATACGTAATAGATTTGTGGTTTTTCTATTAATCTGTGTTTTAGGAAATGGCATGAATGTTTATGACCACTGCGTTTCATTCTGAACAATACTACACATCACATTGCTGATTTTAGAAAGATAAGCATGTTCCATTTTTTCTTAATCTACAATTTGACAATTTCACAAGAGATGGCAATATTGGATACAGAAACTGTAGACTTTACGTTAATCAAGAATGCTTCTTTATTCTGATCCGTAGAATCATGACTTCCAGTCTTTTCATAATTAAATGTATGTATAATCTGTAGTTTTTTTTTCTCATTTTAAAACAAATTTATGAGTTATAAGTTAAGTATTATGTTTGAAGGAAAGAAGTATTATTGCAACCATTGTAACATTTTAAGACAAAAAATAAATGCATTTAACTGTTCATGTCTGTGCAGTTTAAAAAATATGATGCCAGTTTCAAAAATATACAGTATTGTGCAAAAGCACCTGAGGAAATGATATTTAAATATGTATTTGAGTGAGTGTTTATTGCCCCAGAAAACACTAAGATTAGAATACATACATATAACATTAATGCAAAAAGTAGTGATTTCATATATGTCAATGTTTTCATTTAACCATTTTAACCATCTATTCTTAAGGAGATCCCAGTATTATTTGTAGTTATCATTTAATATTGGTTTGTTTGGAGATCTGGAAAATTTGGAAATTTGGAACCAAACTTTCTTCTAACCAGCTCACAAGATATCAGCTACAGTTTTGAAAAGAGGAGATTCTTCCTACTTTTTACTGCATTGATGTTTGTTTGCATTTATTCTAATGTTACATAGTGTTACAAGCAAAAACACAGTTATTGTCTGGATAAATCGTTTCAAACAATCTGTTTAACAAGAATTTCTTATTTTGAAAAAAATTCCATCACCAGCACAGTTGTTTTAATACTAATACTGGGCTTCCTCAAGGAGCAGTTTGGAAATGGTTGGACAAACACATTTTCTGAGCAAAGAAATGCTTGCTGACCAGATAAATTACTTTTTAATTAAAATTTTTTAACACTTTTATGAAGTACTGTATGTGTGATGAATGGATGTAAACATACACTTCCTGCACATCTAATGCAATATATGTCCAAAATAAGGATGTGGATATATCAGGAGTAACAGGATTTAAAATGTTCTATGATTTATAAACAATAATACGTAATTTGTAGAATATGTTTAGAAAATAACCAACCAAACATTAGATTATAGTAAAAAAAAAATCCCGAAGGTTCCCAAGACTTTAGCAGAGTACTGTATGTACTTCTTATTTTATAACTAGGCATTATTTCCTTTTTTAATCCATACGATGTACTATAAATTGAGTCTGTGCAGAGCATGACTGCATTACTCCCTGTAAAACAAATGTAACTTTCACAAAGAGTAAAAGTAAATGAGACCCTTTGATACTCTTAATCTATGGTTTGATATGGAAAAAAACAAAATGTACCAGCAGTGCCACATTGTACAGTGTACAGTGATTTTCTTTATTCAACGTTGAATCCACTGCTGCACACAGTCCAATTAAACAGAACTAATTAGGCTCCTTTTTTAATGAAACGTAGCTGGTTTACGTTCTTTAAGTACCGATGATGTCCACAATACATCCTGATAAATGTATTGTGAGGCAATGATTGAATATCGTCATGTTGTCCACCTAGGAGAAGCATTTCTCTAACAAATATTTTTTAAAGGATCATGTGGTACAAGCATGTCAGACCTGCCTGGTTTCCATTCGTAAACAGCCCTCCATAAAGCACCAGTTTTATGTTCTCCTCCAGCGAGGAGAGCGTTTCATTTTTTACAGAAAGTGATACCTGGGGAGGCTGGGTTTTTGTAAGTGAAGTTAAGCTGATGAATTAGCCCTCGTTTATTGGACAACAGTTTGAGGCAATGTCCAGGGGAGTCGTTGCGCACCTTTTGAAGAAGCGGGCAGTTTAATTGGTGACGGGACGGGGGGGCTTGTGAGGGGAACCGTTTAAGCACGGGGCCGACGGCCTGTTGTGCAGCATGAAAATGGAAGAGACAAGCGCTTGATTTGACAGGAGGAGTCATATATAGATTTTTGTGTCCATTGTTTTGGCTTATTTGTGTGTGCTTTACTCAGTCAATCAAATATAATTGACACCGCTGGGCTCTGTTGTTTCTGGGATGACAGCAGTTAATGCCAGTGGAGGGAAAAAAAAGAAAAAAGACACCGGGAGGAAAGTTCTCCTAGTGAAGGATGGGAAAAGGTTTCTGCCAGACCTGTGACAATTTTTCACACTTCAACAGCATTAATTGATGTAATGGCAGTGATGATGGATACTGATATATGCAACCTTTCAAAAAAAGTAATTACACCACCCCCGTCCCCCACCCCCACTGCCTTCTTGCCTCCTTTGAATAAGATTGCAAATGAAACTGTGCCAGCATTTTCAATGATCTTTTTCATTCTTTATTATGTGTTGTGTACATTGATCAGTAAACGTCTTTTGTAATATGCAAATGATTTAAAAACCTGTTTCAAATAGAACAATAAACACTAAAGCAGTTACACCATAACAAAGCACTGTAATGTCTTATTTTACTCCAAAATTAGTCTTATATGTAGGCAAGAAACATTCAGTGCTGTAGTTTTGAAGTTGCATGTTTTATTCGCTCACATAATGTGATGAATGTAACACAATAAAAGCCATGAGGTGTTTTAGCAGTGCTGACACTGCTGTGAAAGGCCAGAAGAGGGAAGCATTGCTGTGTAGAAGCTCTTACTGTTAAACCTTGAGAGATGCTGAACAATATTGTACTAATTGGCAATGATTATTAATGAAACCAATCAAAAGTCCTACGCTTTTAAAAAGCTGGTTCTTCAAGGGTTCTTTAGTAAAGGGAATAGTTCCGTTTAGAGCCATGAGTTCTTTCTAGAACCATTTCATGCTTAAGAGGTTCTTTGCATGGTGAATAGTTCCTCAGATTGATAGAGAATGTGTTGTATTTGGTTCTATACATCACCAAAAAGGGTTCTGCCATTGTTACAAGCTTGACATTGTAACAACAGAAGAACCCTTTTGGTGCTATATAGAACCATTTTCAAAGACGTTCGATAGAGAGCCATATACAACATATTCTCCATCCTTCCGAAGAATCATTATACCATGCAAAACTGTTTAAGCATGAAATGGTTCTATATAGAACTAATCGTTCAAAATAGAACCATTCTCTTTACTAAAGAACCCTTTAAGAACCATCTTTTTAAGGTGTATTTTAAATATTTTCAGTTAAAATATGTTTGAACTATTACCAAAACTGAAAAACAGAGTAGTGAATAATGGTGGGCAATAAGGCAAAAATATAACTTTGCAATACTTGTAGATATTTTCACTAATGATTATAAAAGTATCAGGATATGAAGTTATAACAGGCACAGGGATCTCCAGAACAGCAGAGCTACGTTTAAAAAGGCTATAAAACACTGCATACAGTGATTTTTGTAACCCCAGTGATTTTTAAAATCCCAGTCTTCTAACTGCTGAGCAGGCCTGATTACATGGAAACAGTGCATATTGGCTGAGCTATTATTAAGTTATAATTAAGTGTGTAATTAAAGTTTGGACCTCCTGACCATTTCAGTGGTTAAGCCAACATTCACAAAACAAACTGTTTAACCCTTTAAATGCCCAGAACCTGGTATTCCTGCAGGTTATTTACAAGGTAGATACCACACATACAGTACCATGCAAAAGACATAGGCACCTAAGCACACTGTTTTAAACCAGTTACCTTGGTAGTAAGTGTGCTTTTGCCTGTAAAACCCCAAGTATTATTAGAATAGATGCAAATAAACAAACAAAGTAAACCGTAACAAGTTGATATCAGAGTAGTTAATATCTTGTCAGCTAGTTTGAGGAAAAAAGTTTGGTTTTAGACATCTCCTGGACGCCACCAGACATCAAATGGTTATGATTTGTTAAATTCCATCACCAGCAAAATGAATGTAACATAATGAAGAAGCAGGGAGTGGATTATCATACTGGGCTTTCTCAAGGAGAGGTTTGGCATGTGTAGTGAATGGATATAAATATGTGCACTGCATACACTTCTAATGCAATATGTGTCCAAAAACAAAGGACTGTTGCCACAGAAGTGATGATTTAAAACGTTCTGTGGTTTATAAGGAAACAAACAACAATAATTACACAATATTTGGAACATGTTTAAAAAATAAACAACTAAACATTGAATTAGAGTTAAAAAAAATGTTTTGGTGCTCAGTTAAGACCTTTCATTTCTGACATCTATGCTTATGCACTGTAAAAAAAATTATTCATTCTTTTTACAAAGTAAGAAAACCCAATTGCTGTATGATGTAGATTGTAATGAAAATGTAAATAATAAGTTAGAATAACACACACAAAATATAGCTCTGCTCATTTCCTATTAGATGTTCTATGAACTCAAATTTAAAACATGAAATGTGTTTATAGTGAATGCAGGTTTACAAGTAGTTAAAAAAAACAATAAAAAGTGTAGCAATCTTGAGCGTGGACATTTATGCTGGCGAGAGAGAGAGAGAGAGAGAGAGAGAGAGAGAGCAAGCAGAGAAGTATCTCATTTCTGCAGCTTTGTGTCAGTCAATCCACTAAGTGTACATGTCGAGCGCTGTTCCTGTCTGTGGGAAAGATGCCCTCTGACCTGCTGTCAAAATACTTGCCCCGAGAAATAGTTCAAGAAAAGACAGATGACAGATATCATTCCTGCTGTTATACAACTATATCTTGCATTCACTTCCAGCTGCCTGTAACTAATAGCACTGCTTTAAATAGCCTTTGCCCAAAGCCTTTCTTTAAAAATGCATTTAGCCCCGCTTCACTCAAGCTTGAGCTGAAAACCGCCAGTCATGTTTTCCCTCCAACTTGACTGAAGTACAGAACCCCAACATATACCACCATCACTGTTGCCTCCACCCCCTCACACAAAGACAGAACAAACTTTTTTACTGTATATGTTAGCCCATTCTTATTCCCTTTAAACCTGTATTTTTATATAACAAAGTACAGAGGACTTCAATATGTAACTAAAACTAAATTTAAAATAACTATAACTAAAATTAAAATGTACTTAAATAACAAAATATATTGTAGTGATCTGAAATGCATTTTTCAAAATTGTCCTTTTTAAACCTTCCTACCTTCTATTTTATTTGTGTATTGTTTTATCTTCTGGCCCCTAGTGTAAATGCCTAATATATTAAAATTTATTTTGTTATTATAATATCATTATTATTATTGGCAGTAATAGTAGCAGCAGTATTTATCATTATAGTACATGCAGTACTGTGCAAAAGTCAGAAACCATGCTTTATTTATTTAATTTCCAGGCAAAATGGCCAACAAGTTATGAATTTTTCTGGACATATTTCTGAGGAGATATAAATAAAATATGTAAAATAATCCACTTGCAGTAGGAAAGAAAAGTCAAAGCAAGCTCCACTTTCTTTAGATCTGAAAAAAATCCACAGGTGTTTCTGTTTGTCCTTCCACTGTTAGAAAACAACTCAACACCATGAGTCTGAAAGGATGTACAGTTGTCAAGAAGCTCTAACTGAGAAAAAGAAATAGACAAAAATGAAGAAAATTCACAAATCAAGCAAAGAAGCTGCTGGTGTTCTCAGAACAGTGGACTGACTGACTCTCTCTCTCTCTCTCTCTCTCTCTCTCTCTCTCTCTCTCTATCTATCTATCTATCTATCCATCTATCTATCAGTGCCACATATTACCCAAGTGTTACTTGTTACTTTCATGTTCACAATCACAGCACTCATGTTTAAGTTAGAAACAAGTCATTAGATACATTTATCAATACGTTTATGAGACTTAAACATTCCTTTAAGATGAACAAAGATATTAAGCCTAAAATATGTCAATAAACCACTGCACATATAATTTATTTTTGAAACTGCTACTTACTGGAGATGTGAGTTTTAGCCTCATTTTCGTAAAATAACACAATCTGTCTTCTATCTGGCTCTGGCAGTGTGATTAGAATGCACCCCAACTATTTCTCATGATGTGTTTCGGTGTCATGCCCACTTTCTCTATAAATCTCTGTCAACTGTGGAACGGCAGAAATGCTTTGAGAGAAAACACTGACATTTTTCCAAATCAAACATTCAATTATTGAAATAAAGTCTGCAATTTTTGCCTCCCTGTGTGTTTTTTTGCCCATGGGAAACACTAAAGTGAATAATTGCTTCTACTCTTTTGAAGATATTATGGAAAGGAATGAATGGAATTAAATCTTCAACACTTGATTTTCTGTTTCCCAGAAACCAACCATGCTTTCTTTTTGGTTACACTTACTCTTATGGTTTCGCTCAAAAGGACATTTGATGCCTTTGTTTCATGATTATTATGGGTCAAAGCACCAAAGGTACTGGATCCTTATTGTTTTTGCTCAGATTCGCATAAATTATTTTTCTCCCCTAAAACGAATCATGCAGACTAAACCATAAGGCCTACAGACATGAAACTTGGTCAACAGGGAGTAATTATAAGGTAGGTTACTTATAATTGGGCAGGTACTAAATCTGTGACTAATTTGAATGTAGTCAAGGCCTATATGTGCTTGTTTTAGAGTGGAGTTTGTATTTGTGTCTTTTATTTATATATTTTAAAAGTCTACAATAGCTGCACTGTTTTCTTAAGCAATGTATTTTCATTACAGTGAGCCAAACTGCTTCCTTCGCCCACTGTTGGCCCACGTTGGGGGTGCATCACTATTGCTTTTTAAACTTAAAAAACCTGTAACGATGTCCCGCTCTTTAAGTACATTCTTTGAGTACATCATTTCAATCCCTTTGCAATCATTATGTCTCCCACTCAGTCTATGTTCAAGTGTGTGGCTGTGACACAGTTGGTCTGATTGGATGTCACTCAACAGTGGGCATTTGACATTTGGCTTGTTCAGGCTGAAGCTATAAAGTGTGTTTCAACCCAGACTTCTTCTTGGATGAGGCACAATACCAGCCAATCAGAACAGAGATCATTTAAATATGCCAATCTTAGAGGCACAGTCAAAAATAGTTTAATTCTAAGGGACAAAAAGAGGTTTGTAAATGATCATGTAAAAACAACATACCTCAGGGAAAAAATAAAATACAAGAATAATGTAGGATATGTGCCAATTATGTGATATTTATTTGAAAGTCAGTTAACGA